TGCCAGTTGGGATCTCCCAGGGAGTCGTGCTGTGGTTTTGTCCGTAAGAAATGGATCTCCAAGTTACTTGTATGGCGAAGATGAGGTTGGACATAGCGGCATAGGAAGTTTTTGGGGGTGTTTCTCGATTTTTTGAGACAAAACCACTTTGATGTATGATTGATTATCTTTATCAGCAGTCCTGTTGTTGGCCCTAAAATATTCTTATATATATATATTCGAAAACAATATTGATCGGTCAACTTTAAAGCCATATGTATGTGTATTTATAAATATATATATATATAGATGTATATAGTCACCCACCAAAGATAGAAACGCAAAATCCTACTAAAAGAGTGATGATGTACTCTCCGGTTTCTTTTTGAGGATTACTATATATATATATATACGTACACATTGTATATTCCTCATGATACTCCATATATCACCATAAAACGGGGTTTCTCCAACTCATGATAGGTAAATGATAGCCACTTTTGGGAGGTAAAATTATGTAAAATTGTTAATTTCACAGTTCTAGTTCTAGTTATAGTAACAGAAAGATACGAAAATCATTAATTAAATCACTATTTTCATGGGATTTTTCCTTATCTATTTGGGGATGATTGCCATCTCCTTTTTTTCGAAAGGTAGATCTGTTAGCGAACAGCAAGCGCCAGGACCGGAGTTGGAGTTTCTGGAGCTTCGACTTCTGGAGTTGCCACTTGGCGAAAGAATCTTGGGCAGGTTGACCTCTGGTGATTTGAGGCTTTGCGGACTGGAAAATCACCCTCTAACTAGATCTAACTAGTAGGAAAATCATAGAACATCAACGAACTCAAAGGACCATGGCTTCAATAGCAAACTGTAACAAATCATCAGAGGCTACCTCTGGTGATTGGTTATGGAAGCAATGGCCGATGAAATACGAATGATTTTGAGCTAAAGGGAGATATAAGTGAGGATATCATTGGGTAAAATGCGAGTTAAATATTAGAAATGCTGATGCTCCAGTTTGCTGTATGAAATTATCAGATGGTAACTGGGATTCTCAAGGGAGTTTAGGGAGCAAAAATTCAGGGGAAAATAAATGGTATATGTTTATGCTGTTCTAAAACAATATACTGTAATGCATTCAAGTAACAAGAATGAGGATTTAGCAAAAATGATGATCATGTTGACCTCGGATTTTTGTTCGATCCCACTACGTCTCTGAGTAGCATGAGCAGCATGACTGCCTTAAGTTACCTTGGATTTGGGATGAGAAAGTGGACATAGTAGGTATATTCCATTGATATTGGGGTATAACATCAACCATAATGGTTAAAAAAAATGCGGGTGATATCTATATATATAACGATATAAGTATACCATGATGGAATTGATGGTTTTACTAGATCTTTGGATGAATTACAACGACCTCGCGTCGCTTTCCATCAGTGAATGATGGTTAGGATCAGGGGAATCCATCCCCATAGCTGGCCTGATTTTTTAGGTGAATCCCTAGCATATAAAAAGCTTGCAGTTTACATCAGTTTGTCCAGATATGGGTATGGATCAATACCTATTAATACCATTTTTAGTGGGATGAACATCCATAAATCCCAGCTATTTTGATGTTCACCAGGGGTATAAGGTTTTGACACACTGCCATATGTGTTCATCCCATGTTTTTGTTTACATTGCATGAAACAATGATCCACCGATGAAAAAAAAATCACCCTGTATCATATTATATCATATCATTACATGTGTTTACATATTTATGTTATGTAGTTATTACTATAATTTGGTTATGATAATGTTTCTACCCAACTATTACACTCTCCGATGACTCGGTCGCCCAGGCAGGGTGTGGTGGATCTCATGGTTGTGGCTGAGTCGAGTGTCTTGTTGCGGCGCCAAAAAATATCACGGAAGGAAAGACTGGAAGTGGAAATTTGGTGATAATTTCGATTGGCTATGCTTTATCGATATGATATTAGTAATGCTCCATCTCATTATACATTCAATATCCCAAGTAAATTCATTTTCGTGATTATAGTAAAATCTAATTAATCATTGTTGATCAATATCACAAAAATAAGCAAGTACTATTGGATAATGCAATCTAAAAGGGGAATATGATTCCATCGTATCCATCGTATCTATAGCCCCTAATATCCGGGGTGAAAATGTAGTGGACCTTTATATTTTGCGCTCTCAAGAAGTTTTTTTTTTGGTGACAAAAATCAGCGGGAAAGAATGGGTTTCGGATCGATGACCTCACTATTATTATTTGTCTAGTTTCATCCAAGTTAATCCTCAATGACTCCGGTTTACAGATTGCTAAGGTCCAGAATCCTCAAAAGGTTCCAATGAAAAATGCCTGGGGTGTATATATGGGCTCACATAGATTTGTGAAGATACTGATGTATTTTGCTGCCGTCTCTCAGATTGAAGGAAACTGAATATCAGGATTCAGTTTCTAGTTTTCCTTTACTCATGGTAGTGTCGGATGCTTTTGCAGCGGTTTCCACAATGACGGGCTAAGGCCCGCATGGATTTGGATCAGTCCAAATTTAGTTCCATTGCTGTTCATTAGCGATTGCTTTATTTTGTTGTGTTTCCGATGTTTGTTTGCTTGATCCTTGCGATTACTTTGTTTTGGTTTCTCTGTTGATTGAGTGTTGATAACCCATGATAACCCATTTACTGGCAAGCCCGGACCTATCAATCACACCCTGACGGTCGGTGAATCAGGTTGTTTGATGGCCCCACCCCCGAAATCGATAATGCTCTGACATTGGTTTGTTTGAAAATAAGGTATACCATGTTTTTTTAACTCCTGTGTAATAGCATGTTTTTTTTGTTTATCCCTTACCCATACCATGTTATACCATGTTATAGCCATAAAATGGCCACTTGATGGTGAATTGAGATGGTTGGATGGTATGCGGTACCCATCGGTACCCAATTTTCGCACAAAACCATATAATGGATCCACATTGAAAAATGAGGTTCAAAAACATACATGTCATGTCTTCAAGTTGGAACATTTTAAGGAAAGTGCACATACAGAACAGGTTGGGGGAAGTGAGGTCAAAAACGAATTCACTGGATTTCCCTTGGATCAAATTGGCTTTATAAAGAATAAAAGAACAGGTAAAGGCAATTGTTGAAAAGGAAGATAGAGGGAGAAAACTAAATAAGATAAACAAATAACTTTTGACCCGGAGAACTTAAAGCAAAATCTCAGGCACAGATCAATCTCTCACCACTTTTATACTAAATTGTGTATATAGTTTGAGACGGTGATAAATGGAAATATTCTACCACCATTCCCAGAATTTGAGAAAATACTATATAATTATTCCCAATCAAAAATGGCAAGAATCAAATTTCCAAGATCTGGGTCTGAGATGTGTTGCGCTATTTGGATTGACACCATCGAATTTATTGGCCAATATCTTGATGGAAGTGCAGTACTGCCTTAGAATTTGAGGATGTCACCTTGACGTTTGCTGGTTCAGTCATGATCATGACGACCTCACAATGAAGTATGCGTACCATAGATGATGGTCAGTGGGGGAAAACCAATCAAATGGACCTTTGTTTCGTTTAGATTTTAGTCAGTTTAGTGAAGTACCAAAATCAGTTAGACGCTGGTTGGAGGTTTCCTAAGTCATGGTAGCCCATTTCCATCATCCAAGTCATGGATGACTTTTTTTTGTTTCACCCATCGTTTTCGGCATCAAGTCCGATCACCTTAGGTCACACCTTTCGCGGAGACCTGAAACCACGTCAGTACCAGTTGAATGCTGAGCGATTCAAGGCACTCGGGAGGTGTTTTGGGATGTGGTTTTTACCCAATGCCAGAAACCATCAATATCCATCAATTGGATGTGGGTCAAAATGGAAGACCGATGTGGGACCACAGATGTGAATGTCTAGTTTAGTATTAACCATCCAATTATTGGGGTACCTAATTTTGACCCATACCCAATTATAGATCCATGATTTGGGGTTAGTTGAAATCATCCCATTACTAGGGCTATAGCCAACATTAGATTTGGGGATGGTTTATGGAATTGGGTAGAAAGCACGCTAATTGAGTGTGGTTCGTGTTTTATGTTTTGATATAAATGCTATGAATCAAAGTTGAATTGGGACAATGGCAATTGGCAATACAGAACCCAACCAACAAAACCATTTGGGTGTATTGCAAGACCTGTATCCATGTTGTTTTGGGATATATATATATATACTGGTTGGTGGTTTGGAACATGACTTTTATTTTCCATTTCATATATGGGATGGGATAATCCTTCCCATTGACGAAGTCCTATTTTTCAAGATGGTTATTGCACCACCAACCAGATCGGAAATTCGATGTTTGGACAGCAATTGATTTCAGATGAAACATTGATGACCAGGTCTGCTTGCCTTACTTGTCTTTGTAACTGAACTCATTCCTGGGTGCACTTTTTTTTTTGCACGTCAATTCAGAGAAACATCAGAACTAACAGAACTAACAACAGGCAGCTTCCAAAACCATTGACGCAGCTAAAATCATCAAGTTCTGAGGATATATACTGTCTAAATCAAAAACAAAGTAGAGACTTGAGGTGTGTGGAAGCCTGAAGGTAGCAACCACATTTGCTGATGACTTTAAAAGGGTTTTTGGTTCAAGAAAAGGAAGCGACACGGCAATCGAAATGGTTCGAAAAGGTTTGGTAGGACATTGAAATCCCGTCACAACCTGATTTGACTGGAAACCAAGATGGAACTGCGGACCGATGGACCCCCTCGGATTTTGGAAGATACCCTCTGGTAATTTGTTACATAGCTATTGAAAATGGCTATTTATAGTGGATTTACCCATTGAAAATGGTGATTTTCCATAGTTATGTTAGTTTACCAGAGGGTATTTGTTGTAGATACTTGCCATTCTCCGGAGCTTACACCTATATTCGGATAAAAGGCTGGCCGGTTGTCAAACAAATCAAAGACCATTCTTACCTGAAATGACACAGAAAAACGGTCAAACCAAATCCGCATTGCAAGCATATCCGCAGTAAGCTGGGTTTCAGCATCATGTTTTAAGAATATTGTTTATCGTATGAAAGAAGGGATAACACGTAGATTTGCCTGTAAATTTCAACATGGTAGCCGAGAATCACATGCTTGATCATAAAATCTTCCCTCATAGTATCTTAAAGTTTCTTGATTGATGCAAAAATTGAGTCTTGTGGGGATCTCCCATTTTCAGACATGTGAATCATATAACTGTGGACCATGTTTCTACCAAGTTTGGCGGCTGTTCGGAGGCGTTTCGTGACACTGTGATGTACCTGGACCTGGAGGAATGCAGCCTGTCAGCCGGATTTTAACCATGATTTTAAACCATTACATATTATCAATATATATATATACACTGTATATATATAATCTTAGATATATATATATATGTATATATGTATGTATATATATAGTGTATATACATATATATATATATACATATGTATATATATACATATATATATATATATACATATCTATACATATATATATATATACACTATATATATATACATACATATATACATATATATACATATATATACATATATATATATACATAAATATATACACGTAATACAAGCTATTTTCTTAACTTCGATCTGAGGTTTCATGAGTCCGAAGCCAACATGATCCTAAGATCAAGCATGATAAACTAGTTTCAAACTTCACCCCTCCCAAAAAAAAATCACGCTGTGCTTTAGGCCCTTGTTTTTTATGCGCTTTTTTACTAAGGCGAGGAGTACTTGCACCACATCAACAAGACCCGTGAGAAGCATGGCCAGCATCACGACTTGTGGGACATCCAGAACAGCCAAAGGAGGGGATCCAAGGGATTGCCATGTTGGATTACTTGGATGACTTGGATTCCCGGCTCCGGTGATCCTAAAAAACTACGAAGGTTTTATTTAAGGCCCTTAAGCAATTCCAAGAGAAGTGTTTGGATTTAATAACTGCGATAACTGCGATAACTGGTTTCAAATGTCACACATATTCACTTAAATTGGGCAGCAATGAAGCCAACAACTTGGTTTAGAGGTAAGGTAAGGATTAAACCATCTATTTTGGGTGGATTGGATATTTGTAATACCATACAAGTAATAAATATATTCAAAGCTCCATCCTGCCTGCCATCTGAGGTGGCAATGATGGCAACGCACACTTCCCAACGTTTGTGTAGATAATTGTAGATGATGTTTCCTTCTACAATACATCAATGGAAATGATTGTCGATTATTGTAAATTATTGTAGATTCTTGGGACTTTCCATGATGTATTGTAGATTATTGTAGATTGTAGATGATTTCTGAGTAGTATTGCTCCAGATTCCAAGTCCCGGGTTCGTCCCATTGAATTTTTGGAATTCCTCTGGGCTCGTCCATGTTCCTTCCGAATGCAGGGGATGCCTCTGGAAAATGCTGCAGAGAGATCGGCCAAATCTCACTGATGCTTGGAAGTGATTTTTGTGGCCAGGGACAATCTCGCCCAAGTGGAGGAGTCTCAAAAACCCATGGGTATGTTGTTAATCTTGAGCTACTAGGCTATTGAAAAGGGATCGTTATGATCCATTATTGGAACAACTACAAAGACATGGAGAATTTGCCGTTTCATAGATGATGCACCTACCTGGCAAGATGGAGATGCGCCTACCTGCCAAGTTCAATTGCCAAAGGTTATGGAATATCAATGCTTTCTGCAGATGACCAGCAAAAGGTATTGAAATGGGTATTGAGCTGCTGGCTTCAAGTGGTTTGTATGTTTAATACCAAGGGGCAAGCTCTTCAGGAGTTTTCCAACCCTCGGCAAGGTATGGGATATGGCCACGGGAATCGAACCGATATATATTGGGTATGTGCGAGGCATCCATGGGAACTTCTAAAAATTGGATGGACGGTTGGACATGATATTGGCCCCGAAAAGATCCGTGGTGACTCATGTTGGTCCCCGAATGCGTCGACATTTCCGAGACGCCATCCCCACCGTATTTGATGATCAAAACTTATTGTCACAACCATTCTGACATGTGTTAAAACCAACATTTATAGCTTAAATATGCTTAAATCAAATTGTTGTATCCAGCCCCATTGCCAACATCAGCGATGAGGATATCCCAAGTGGATTGAGTTCAACCTGTACATCTCCAATTTTTCGCAGGCCCCACCCTCCGCCTGAGGATGACACGATTGTGATCTTTTCAGACCTTTGGATCGGCGCCAGTTTGCGGACCGGATTTGATGGGGATTTCATTGGATTTATATTGACAAGTTGTTTGACAAACATGGACCATGGATTATTTGATAGGGATTTCAATTCATGTTCAAATTGTTTGAGAAAAAATAACATAAAAATGTGGATTTCAATGGATTGAAACCATCATTTAGCCTCTGGTAATCAAACATGGTTGACTGGAAAACCATCGAAAACACACAAATTTCACCCAGCTAAAGACATGTGATTTTGATGATAAAACCAACCAAACTTGACAGGAATCAACATCTTCCTCGCAATGTAGACAGATGTAGACAGCAAAAATGTGGAAATGTCAGTATTAGGTCATGCTCGATAAGCCATAGATGTGTTCAACACTCCGAGGAAAGGGACGGTCAGTAAAGGGAGATGGCATGACCAACCAAAGATGGTGAATGACATGTTCGCCATCCGCCATGTGGATTGATAGATGATCAAACATGATCAAACCTTTTTACAAATGTTTATATGTCTCGCCGGGTGGGGAGCAGTGAGCACAAAAAACTTGGCGAAGATCTTCAGAAATAATGTATTTACCAGATGGCACTTTTTTTTGTTCAACTTGTGCATTTAAAATGTGGAGGAATGGTTTGGAGATATTCTAGACATGCTATGGTTTGCGGCAGTTTCCGCAACCAAGTACTTAACACCGGATTTCATGCTGGTTAAACATAAAAATCTATCGGAAATCAGGAGAGGCCCAATTAATGTGGTCCCCGACAAACTACTTACTGGTGCTGAATTTTTAAGGAACTGAGGAATGATCTAAATAAATCTAAATAATAACATATAGCTATGAACAATCATCCCATTCCCCCATTCCCAGCCCTAAGCACCGGTAAGACTACTTTCCCACTTCAAGGCTGTGGTGATGAGACCAGACGGAATCAGTCACCCACTAGCAAAGTCAGATCACCCTGAGTCAATCACCCCCCCACGTCAATCGTTGGATTGGATTCACAATAAATGCTGATATGGCTTTTAAACATCGCTGCGGACGAATGGATGAAGGACGAATGGTTGAATGAATGAATGGACGGACGGACGGATGGAATGGATAGATAGATGACTCTACCCTCATATATCCCATATGTTGACAACATATATATGCTGGTTGGTGGTTTGGAACATGGCTTTTATGTTTCCCATCATATTGGGAATGTCATCATCCCAACTGACCTTCATATTTTTCAGAGGGGTAGGTATACCACCAACCAGTATGTATATACCCTCTGGTAATTTAACATAACTATGGAAAGATCCACCATTTTCAATGGGAAAATCCACTATTTCTATGGCCATTTTCAATAGCTATGTAACAAATTACCAGAGGGTATATCCCATATGTTGACAACATATATATGTATATGTATGATATATGGATTAGTAATTATAGGGATTATCATCTCCCAGGCGTTTGCGGATTCAGGCTGAGGTGGGTCTGATACGCCTTGATTGGTGTGGGGCATGAGTTATTCTATAGATGTTTTATAACTGGGTTACATTATATGAAATTATCAGATATAATCATGCATAGTAATGTATCATATGTTTTCTTGGGTTAATATGAACTTATCTTATGTAATCATACATAATCATATATAATCATATACATAATCATCCATAATCATACATAGTCATATATAATCATACATAATCATAATAATCATACATAATAACATTAATCATCCTTGGAACATGTTATGGAACATTGGAGATGCGACACATTCGTGACACATTTCTGGGTGCAGACAAATCGAGATTTTTCGCTCAGGATTTGGATGAGATACCCAACGGAGAGATGATGATGGCCATGAAGTCACTGAAAGCTGCAGGGGAAAGGGATGGGTTCAGACTATGGAAAGACATGGCAAACCTGCGGTGAAATCCGAGTGACATATCCATCCAGTGGTGATTTACCATTGGGGATGGAGTCCGTGGCCCAGAGAGGACCATGAGAACAGCGTCTGGTAATCAAACGTTCCATGGACATATCCGGCATGAATAGAGGCTTTTGATGGGAAATCCATAACATAGACCTTTGGATATGTTCCAGCCATGTTCATTGCTGTAGAGTAGGTTGATGAGATAAACGTCCCTATCAATAAACACCCCGCTTGACTCAGCTTCACGACAGGCTGAGTTCACTCATGTTCACTGCCTCCCTTTGAGGCACTGTGAGTGGAAAGCACAGACTCCAAAAATACAGCCGCTCGGTGACAGCTTGGGTGATACGATGTCCACAAAAGAAAAGCTCAACCTAATCAAAGGTGTTAAGGCTTAAAAGGCTGAATCTATCCCTTCTAGCTCCGCGATGTTTGTTGGATTAGTGCTACTGTAGCACCTAGAAAGGGTTGATGATCGATAATACACAGGGATGAGCCTTGATTTGTGTCATAGCCGACAGATGTGCATCCCACTAAACTTCTTGGGGGTGTCTCTTTTCCAACTGGCTCGAGTATATTAATACCCAGTTGTGAACAGGGATTGACATCCAAGTGTGAAGAGCTTGTATGGCATTGTATGGGTTTTCTAGGCCTATGATATGTATATATATACATACGTATGTATATATATACATATGTATGTATATATATACATACATATGTATTTATATATATACATATGTGTATTCATATATATATATACATATATGTGTATACATATGTTTTTTACGTATATACATATATATACATATACATATATATATATATATACATATATGTGCATACATATTTTTTTACGTACATATATATACATATGTATATACACATATATACATATACATATATATATATACATACATATACATATATATATATATGAGATTACCACAAGCCATGAGATATGGAACTGATAAAGATCAAGAGTCTTGATGGATGTATGATATGGCTACTGTTCTATCTAGGGTATCGGGGAGTTGAGAATAAATCATACCCATGTGCTCCAGGGACTTGCCATTTCAGCTGTAGCAGAGTTGCACCAAGTAGAAGAAGTGTAGCAAGCCCTCTGCGGTCGTGGTTCAAAAGGAGGGCTCTGAACACCACTCATATTGGCTTTTTCATCTGGGATTGTGGCAACCGCGTAAATTTAGGAAGTAGGAAGTGGTTTCTTTTGCGGATTTCAATCCTCTGGGATGAGCAACGTTTTCCTTGCAACATGTCACTTAAAAACTTGTAAATCATGGCTCTCTGGCGCAGTCACTGAGATATGGGCCGCAGGTCAGCACCAAAATGAGTCGAACAAAACTTGAAATGACCACCGTTCTGTGACTATCAGGTGCCTGGTTCATTTTTGCGATATCCACATTGCTCCAATGAGACTTTCTGGAACTTGGATTGCCGAACACATTTAATATATTTAATGTGCTTTCCAAGGCATAAGGGAATATCCTCCTAAAATATCTTTTTTCCAACACATGTATAGAACCTCCATTCTAGGCGCCCAAGAGTGAGCCATGAACATCCGCATGTTTCTCATGGTAACGCTTCGAGGTTCAAGCAACGAATGGTGCAGTACAACCTGCGGCAGGTGCGTTGAGACAAAGATTCCTGGGTGTGCCGAAAAAAAACCATCCATTGGGAACATGTGACCATCCAATGGCTTAAAATGGCCTGTGATTTCCCCCATTTCTCGGCAAAACAGGTCTAGGTCCTGTTAGCCAGTTCGAGACCCTTGCTGCTCGGTTCGTTTGATTGCTGTGACCCACAAAAAGGGACCCATAAAAGAATATATGTATACAGTATATACATATATAAATACACAGTATATATATACACTATATATATATATACAGTGTATATATATATATGCGCAGTATACATATATACACTATATATATATATACTGTATATATATATACTGTATATATATATACTGAATCTCTCCAATACTAAACCCTGGTTTCGTTTCGGGGAATGCACTATTTACTTTTGAAAAAATATGATCCCATTAGAAAGCCATGAAACACATTGGACATTCCATTACATTCACCCGGACTTGCCAGGTGCTTTCTTCTCCAGCCGGCTGCTTCCCTAAGCACCTTGGACGCAGCGGTCATCGAATGGCGAATGGTAAGTCAGAAGGGTTACCCGGTAAGGTACTTTGACAAGCTATGGAGAATAATCCATGGATGCTTTGCAGATTATTTTAATGGCGATTGTCCATACTGTGACGTTACCAGAAATGGGGACTCTCCATGGAGAAAAGCCATGGACTAGTCATGTCAGACGCTTCTTGGACCTTGGGGACCTTGGGTTTTGGTGAAAAACTGGCGATTCTTTGGGCTATTTTCTTAACGGGCGATATAATTCGTATCTCCAAAAATGGAGGGATCATGATCAGATCTCCAAGATGGCCGTTTTTGTGACCTTATTAATATTTGTTGGGGTCTGCAAAACGCGTTTGATGGGTGGTTTGGCTATGTTTGGACTAGGCTTTTCAAAATCGACGATGTCGTTCATCTGCTTGGTGAATGTAACATGGCCCTGGCCCAGAGGTACAACACCTGGAAGCACTGAAACTGCAGATTGCACATTGCATGACTTACCCTCTGGTAAACTAACATGACTATGGAAAATCACCATATTTAATGGGTAAATCAAAGCATAAATGACCATGTTCAATAGCTATGTTAGTTTACCAGAGGGTAGTCTTCATCACGTTTTTGGGTACGAACAAAAAGGATTTGACCCATGGCCGCCGTAGCCCATGTCCAGTGAAGGCACTGGGTCGGATGAAGACCCAGCAAGAAACACCAAAAACCGCCTCAGCCACTAACGGAGCTTTCACCAACAATCAACGATTTTCTCTGGAAACAGGAACTTCTTTGGAATTATTTGGATATGTAGCTACATAAGTATATATATCCTTAAAATTCATGGTTCATCATGTCCCCTATAAAAAATCCAATTTTTCAGTTGCCATATGGCTGGGGTCAAAAAATCCCCAATGTTCGGTGGTGATATCATCCCATTGGTACCGATCCACTGGAGCTTGGGGGTAGATCGGATCCCTGTAAACATATAAGTTATTAATGAAGGTTTTTTGAAATGGGGGTACCATGGGGTACCTCCAAATCATCTATTCTTGTGGGGGATTTTCCAGTAGAAACATGTAGAAACCATTCAGCGGTCCTGGGGTATCCCGGTATCCCCATTTATGGAAACCCCCATATGGATCCATATGCTAGGTACATGTTACATGTAGCTACCTCCAATGTAGCTGGTTCAAGGGGGCCACTGATGAAATGCTTGGCTGTTGGTGAATCTACAGGACGGCTTGGCTCCAGGGAGCACTCCTCCGCCTGGGCTGGGTGCGAGAAACTGAGCCTTGGTGCTGGGAAGTCTAGGTGATTTACCCATCATTTTCCGTAACAGTTCGCTATGGCACATCACCATCTTTAATAGGTCAAACATCGAACTAAATGGGCCATGTTCCATAGCTATGTGAGTTTACCAGAGGAAAAAATGGATTGGATTTTTTTGTTTCACCACAGATGGTGGATGGACCATGATGAACCCCTGAAACTCATGAGAAAAAATTGGATGTGGAAGACGAAAAATCCGACGGAAAATCACCGGGTTGTTTCTTTCATCGCTCAAAATGCTACTGCAGATCTAGGGAATGGTGATTCAACAATTGGGAATTCATAGCGGTTGAATATTGGCTAAAAGTGGGTATGATTTAAGGCAGGAAAAATGGTGATTGAAGTAGGATAAAACAAATAGATAGATGAATAGAGATTGACAACCGTCAAGAAGCAGACAACAATTACAATCGGCAACCATTCGGAATAGATGAATAGGCTGTTTAAACCTGGTTGAATCAATGCGATAATTTAACATGATTTGTATAAGCTAGAACAATTGGTCTTGAAGCAATTTATAAATTTGTATATTTGACATGATTTAACCATTGTTTCAACGGGCATTTTCACCAACAGATAAACCCTAACTGTAATATGGTAAAATGACCAGTGGATCCAAGTGGGGCCACCATGGAGGATATCCACCGAGCTGTACTAAGAGCTTGAGGGTTACAGCCCCAAATTGCCATCTCGATGGAGATGAGGCTCTAAAGCCATGGTGATTTTTCGATATATTTTTTGCGTGTTGAATTTTACCCTATGTTTTCCGACAAAGCCAATCTGTTATGTTACTGGAACACATCCCAAAGATTCGCACCAGCCTTTGCGAAAAAAAGTGTTGGCCAACTCGACGGTTTCTCTTAACCTCGGCCCTGAGGTACAGAAGAACAAGAGAATTCCCTTGAGGTTTGCAAGCCACTGTGACAGCAGTGAGAACCAAGTCCCTTCTGATTGATGAGCAATGGGAAGCATTAGCATGATTTACTATGTTATTTTTGTGAACCATGTCAATTGGCAACAGTGGTGAACATTAAGCATTAGCTAGGTCTCACATCTATACACATACATAATATTTAAATATATTTAATGCATATGCATATATTAATATTAATATTAATATATAATATACGTACATACATTGACATATATATATAATGTCACATGTATAAATGAATAACTATGTTCATGTATACACCTACTTGTAGAAATAGAATGAAATAGATGTGACATGTCACCAGGATAGCTGCCGTCTTCCTCCCCTCTATGTCTTAGCCGAGGTCCGATTGCCACAATGGATGGTGGTGCAATGCATCTGTCATACTTTGGCCACGCATTCGCGTTGATGATCCTTGATGATCCACAGTTGATCCACAGTTCAAGCACTGAAAACCACTGGCTGGTCATGGTTACCATGGGTTATATTTTTATGGGGAGATCATTCCATAAATGGAATTGACTTGCTGACTTAATCTATGGAATGGTGACCCACTTTGGTGACGGAAAATCGTCGGCAGTGCTTTTGAGCACGGCTAAACCCAACTGGATATCATCGATGTACAAACATAAGGAGCCAGCTTTCCCTAAACGATTCGAATTGCGGCAGAGGATTTTTCAACGCAACAGACTTGGGAAATATCTTATTTTTTCCTGAAAAAAAAACGCATAAAACATGATTCACTCACCTACGGTAAGCTTTTCTTTCACCGGCATTTGTTCACTAAACAACCAGTAGGTTTTTCACCAACCAGTAGTCATTGGTCGAATCTGATCATCTGGGTAGGCTGCTGATTCCGAAAAACTATGGCTATGTTTGTTTCAGTACTTGGAGTAGATGTAGTGTCTAGCAAAGTTGTTGAAAATAGAGAAGAAATCATTAGACATTAGACATAATTAGACATTAGTAAAGATCGTCGAAAGAATTTGTCATAGTGTAGAAACGATTCTTAAGATTCGACTAGCATCCGACATTGAAAGTCATCTGGTAGGGAGCCAAGAAGCCAAAAAAGAACACAAGAACATGATAGGGACAATATGGAAAAAATACAACCTTTTGGTGCAGAGGTTTTTATATGTGTTTATAATAATCTGTAAGATGATCTGTTTTGGGATTGCCTTTTCATGAAGTCAAATGGAAGGATGATCAAGGATGTACATTTCAGGAATTCGCCAGCTGATGAAGACGGTCTTTACAACCGCTGAATCATGGAACTCAATGGATGACAGTTCCTATAGCAAACTCCAAAAAAAAATACCGGATGGTCTTCCATGGAACAACTTCCGTCGGGCAACGAATTCTATCTGTTTTGGTGAACAACCCTGGGAAATCTGAAGAAATGTGTGCGTGTGTGTGTGTATGTATGTGTGTATGTATGTGTGTGTGTGCGCGCGTGTCTGTGTGTGTGTGTGTCTGTGTCTGTGTGTGTGTACACCGTTATAACAAACGGTTTAGTTCTGTATATCGCGCTTGTACAATTCTCATAAAGCAGGCGGCAGAGGTGCCCATGTCACTTCCTATGCCAACGAAGCTGAGTGACATGCGGTAAGGATATAGATCAGGGACGCTTGATCTACGTACCTGCTATGGTTAAAACTGTTGACCTTCGGTTCCTGTTCATGAGCTGTGCGTTGTCTATTCTTTGGCGATTCCGTTGTCAAACTACTGACAGGTAACTCAGGACATTAGGCGACGACGGTGACATCATTGACACTTTCCACTCACCATTACCCCACAATGTGTCACGGGTGTTGGACCTGACTTGATCACACCGTCGGTTGGTTTCGACCAATCAGAAAGTCATGAGCGGGCATTTTCCCGTATTCAGAGAGGAGAATGAATCTCCGAAGCCGTATGCACTCAGAGTGCATTTCAAGCGTCATAAGACGAAGTCAAGATTTTACATAGTAAAATCCAATCGAAGTAGCCATAAGGCGAAGAAGCCATAAGGCAGAAGTTTCGTCCAATTCGGACAAAGAAGACATAAGTCGAAGTCCTAACACTACGAGTGGTAGTGTGCAAGCAGCGAACCTTCGATTTGGTCGGAGTCTCAATAGCATTTTTACATCACTCGTCATCGTCATCAGGTTCTTTTTAGGCCATGTATTCATTCTCTTAGGCAGGCCCCTTAGGTTTGTTTTACCAGGTATAGAACATGGTTCAACGTTTTGTTTCTCACATCACTCGTCATCGTCATCAGGTTCTTTTTAGGCCATGTATTCATTCTCTTAGGCAGGCTCCTTAGGTCAGATTTACTAGGTATAGAACATGGTTCCACGTTTTGTTTCTCACATCAATCGTCATCGTCATCAGGTTCTTTTTAGGCCAGGTATTCATTCTCTTAGGCAGGCTCCTTAGGTTAGAGTTTCTAGGTACAAAATTGGCGCTTTGCGGTCTTGCCCCATTTCGGGGCCGTTGTGTGTGTGTGTACACCGTTATAACAAACGGTTTAGTTCTGTATATCGCGCTTGTACAATTCTCATAAAGCAGGCGGCAGAGGTGCCCATGTCACTTCCTATGCCAACGAAGCTGAGTGACATGCGGTAAGGATATAGATCAGGGACGCTTGATCTACGTACCTGCTATGGTTAAAACTGTTGACCTTCGGTTCCTGTTCATGAGCTGTGCGTTGTTTATTCTTTGGCGATTCCGTTGTCAAACTACTGACAGGTAACTCAGGACATTGGGCGACGACGGTGACATCATTGACGCTTTCCACTCACCATTGCCCCACAGTGTGTGTGTTGATCTCAAATGACCACCACACACACACTAGATAAGAATGGATCATTATAGTGATCCGGCAGGAACTGAATCCTGTAACATGCAAATTAGATGAGAAACAAATTACCCTACGACGTTATAACCCTGACAGAAACTGTGAAAACGGTTCCATTTCGTGGCGAGACGGAAAGAATCACCAAAAAGATGTGACCACCAGCTATGCAACAGCATCCAGGTGCGTCAGTACGGTTCCATTGTATGGCGAGACGGACAGAATCTCCAAATGATGTGACCACCAGCTATGCAACAGCATCCAGGTGCATCAGTACGGTTCCATTGTATGGCGAGACGGATAGAATCACCAAATGATGTGACCACCAGCTATGCAACAGCATCCAGGTGCATCACTACGGTTCCATTTCGTGACGGATAGAATCACCACGTGCAGGTACAAGATACTGCGTCCAGTATCTCATCCACCAAATGTCCACAGCGTCGTTGGCACGGCTAGGACAAATGGCGCCGTGCCCCCTGCATTATTTAAAAAGGGAGGAGAGGGAAGAAAAAAGAAGGAAGTTTTACATCTATCCAGATGTTACACACACACACACGGCAGAGCCGGGGAAACCCTGAAAGGCAAGAGGAAGAAAAAAGCGGACACACGACGGGCCGACGGCCAAAAACAGCGCAGGGGGGGAGGGGAACAGACGGACCTCCGGAACCAACCTACACGGCGAAACGGACCTGACAAAACCAGAGCACACACCTGAACCCAACGACCCACTACGGAGAAACCAGCAGGAGGGTGATTAGGGACCAATGGGGACTAGTTGGTGAAAAAAGGAAACAACAAAATTCAGGTCTCCAAACAGGACTCAGTCCCTAAATACCTAGGGTTCGTGCGTTGTTCCCTTTCCGGGACCGTGGTCAAGTCTTGCCCCAATTGGCATAAACGGCTTTCAAGTTCCATCGAATTAGGTGCACAACATGTTTCACCTCACCAGAAACCAAAGTGACCACACCTGCAGGAAGATGACATGCCTGTTGCCTTTTGTCGTACATGTCATGTTGAACTTCAAAAACTCAAGCTGCAGTGGTAAAAATGAAGTTTCTGGCAGTTCGGAACGGCTTCACTCTGTAAGGAATGCATTTTGTCAAAGGGTCTCATGGGACAGCCGGAGCAGCGAGAATCTCCAAAAACGGTGGATAACAGTAAGGCCATCTGTTGCACATTACTTAGACGAACTTTTTTAAAAAAATGTGTAAATTCGGAAGTCAGGTCAGTCGACAGTCACCCTAAACAGGGTTGCCTCAATTTTCCCTATGGCACCATGTCGGAGTCACCATAGGAATCACACTAGATAAGAATGGATCATTAGAGTCCCGCAGGAACTGAATCCTGTAACATGCAAATTAGATGAGAAACAAATTACCCTACGACGTTATAACCCTGACAGAAACTGTGAAAACGGTTCCATTTCGTGGCGAGACGGAAAGAATCACCAAAAAGATGTGACCACCAGCTATGCAACAGCATCCAGGTGCGTCAGTACGGTTCCTTTTTCTTGGCGAGACGGACAGAATCTCCAAATGATGTGACCACCAGCTATGCAACAGCATCCAGGTGCATCAGTACGGTTCCATTGTATGGCGAGACGGATAGAATCACCAAATGATGTGACCACCAGCTATGCAACAGCATCCAGGTGCATCACTACGGTTCCATTTCGTGACGGATAGAATCACCACGTGCACGTACAAGATACTGCGTCCAGTATCTCATCCACCAAATGTCCACAGCTTCGTTGGCACGGCTAGGACAAATGGCGCCGTGCCCCCTGCATTATTTAAAAAGGGGGGAGAGGGAAGAAAAAAGAAGGAAGTTTTACATCTATCCAGATGTTACACACACACACCCCAAAAAATACTGCGTAGTTTTTTGTGCAGGAACCGATCAGCTTCACACATTCTGCATCCCAGTTTGCATCATTTTAATTCATTCTATGTGAAATATTGTGAGATACTCATTCCCTGAAGGTATGTTTTCATGTCCCATGTGAATTCAGTCCATTCAAACAAAGCCGAAAGCAACGAGATCCTTCGGTATCTCTGAGGACCAAAGGTCTTCAACATGGTGAAGGTGGTGCGTTGTTTCGTAGCGGCATAGGTTGGTGAATTTATCATGTTATAGAAGGTATTAAAAGTTATCTTCAATGAGTGTTTTTGTGAACTTATATATATATTGTTTTTTCTTTGGGTGAACTTATGAACAGTAGTTATACATCTTTAATCTATCTTCAACCAGATTTCTTTGGTCACATAATGTCACATATCACCTTGCCTGGAGGGGGAAATGGTCAGAAACAGCCTATTTGATCTGTTTGTATTGGGTGGTGACACTGAGATCTTCGTGGTTGGCTACATGTTTCCTCGTAGTTCATCTTGATGCGGGGAAGATTCCAAAATTAAACGGACTTCAAGAATCCTATAGCAACCACCAAAAAGAAAGATAGAACGGTGATTTATCATGATTTATCATTGTTTTGGTCGCAGTTTACAACTTTCTATCTCTTTGGGGATTGCGAATAATAAGCAACATCGATACAATTTTTCAGCAACGAACATGAGATGTTTCCGAAGAGGTCTGATTTCCCTGCTGGATCACAGCTGGCTGACCATAGCAAGCCATGTGGAGGTTTTGACCAGAACCAGCAAGCTGAACATAGTTGAAGCATGTTGAAGCACATCCCGGCAACGTGCAAAGGAATGAATCTACGCACAGTAATTGAGTACGTGTGTTCAGATGTGGGGTTTCTTAAAATGGTGGATCCCCAAACCTATGGGGTTCAATACTAAAATAGACTAATTTTGGATGATTTGCCCCACTTTAGGAACCTCCATACAGTGTGTCTTTCCAGCCCTGAAGAAGGAATCATGATCGCACAATTTCGACAAGCAGAATGTGTTGCCTCACTACCTGGGCCACTGGTTAGAAAACCATGAAGTTTGCCTGTCTTGCTAGGTCAGGATCAAACGGGACAACCCAGCTAGGTATTAATGTATGGGATTGTGGTGATTCTTCCATGATTCCTGTCTTTTGTCAATATTCAATGATCTCTGCTCTATCCCGAGTCACAACACCATTCCCATTGAATACATTCCATGTTGATATTTGCAGCATCTTTTCAGTCGTAATCCATCGATCCTTGATTCATAAATTCTGGTTATCCAAAAGGTCCCATCCGCAAAGGGGATTGTGAATCGTCAGTTGTTATCTGTTGTTATGTTTATTCGTTTCCCATGAAACTGCCATAGATTGGATGATCCCTACCTTTTTTGGGGGCTCCCCAAAAAGATGCCCCTGTCCGCGTGTCCAGGATGGTACTTTTGATGATGTTTCCGCAAGATTTTCCAGGTTTCCAAGATATGTTCCACATCAGGGGTTGCTGACTAACCTTCAGCGTGAGATCTTGAGGCTGTTACCTACATGGTTCAAGCCCTGCGATCCCACCGATCAGGAGAAACATAGAGAAAGATCTGGGAAAGCCCATGAAACCCGGGGAAAATGTAGAAAAATGATCTACATTCAATTCATGGTGGGTTTTTTCTAATATCTATGTTAGTTTAGGAGGGTAACCTTGGGTACCAACTGAATTAGATTGAATTGATTGAATATCTTGGTATACAAAATACATCAAAGTGCATAGGGATGAGCGTCCTTAGCTGCCGAAGTTGGGTTCCGGCGGTGAGTTGGTTCCGCAATGGCAATTCATAGGAAATACAGCCAGTTTGGGTACCTGAAATGGCAATTGATGTGAGGTAATTTAGTAAGTTGGTCACACATTGTCTATAGAATAGGCTAACGCCCGGGTGCCACCGACCCCCTGATACGGGGGTTGGGTCTGGCAGGAACAGTCATTTGGCAAAGGTACATGCCGGCTCTTAGCCCTTGTAACCCCGAGGGATGAGAAACTAATTCATTCCTAGCTGCGCGAGTTGGGAAGATGCGGGCGATACAAATGATATGAAGTTCTATATGATATACTAGAACATATAGTAGATTTACATGTATGTAGATGTATGTATACATATATATACAATATATATATATATATACCTTGAGAACCAAAACCCGCAGAAATCTTAGGGTTTGAAAAATACCCGAGCTTTTCTGACAAACCCCGGGGTATTTTAACCCATTCTGAAAGTACGGGTTAGGTACGGGTTAGGTACGGGTTAGTACGGGTTAAGTACGGGTTAGGTATGGGTTAAGTACGGGTTCAAAATCAATACCCGAGGTCTGCAATCGAAAACCGAGGTTTTCTTATTTTTTCCGAAATACCTCAGGTTCTTGCGTTGACCCGAAGAATTCTTAGGGTTTTGGTTCTCCAGGTATATCCATGGATGCATGCATGTGGTATGCATCACTGAATGGCAAGCTGCAGCCTATATCAAGGCCAGATGCGCTGCCGCGGAGGGTTTGGAGGGTTCGGTGGGCCCAGGGCGGCGTGTGTCCGGCAGTTTCGGAGCGGTACAATAGGTGGTGCCGCGGAGCGTTTGCAGGGATGTCAAACTGCAGCCTATATATCAAGGCCAGACGCGCTGCCGCGGAGCGATGCGGAGCGTTTGGAGCGTTCGGTGGGCCCAGGGCGGGGTGTGTCCGGCAGTTTCGGAGCGGTACAATATAGAGGTGCTGCCGCGGAGCGTTTGCAGGGATGGCAAGCTGCAGCCTATATCAAGGCCAGACGCGCTGCCGCGCGGAGCTACAATAGAGGCGTTTGCAGGGATGGCAAGCTGCAGCCTATATATCAAGGCCAGACGCGCTGCCGCGGAGAGTTTGGAGGGTTCGGTGGGCCCAGGGCGGGGTGTGTCCGGCAGTTTCGGAGCGGTACAATATAGAGGTGCTGCCGCGGAGCGTTTGCAGGGATGGCAAGCTGCAGCCCATATCAAGGCCAGACGTGCTGCCGCGGAGCGATGCGGAGCGTTTGGAGCGTTCGGTGGGCCTAGCGGTACAAAAGAGGTGCTGCTGCGGAGCGTTTGGGGCGTTCGGTGGACCCAGGGCGGGGTGTGTCCGGCAGCTTCGGAGCGGTACAATAGAGGTGGTGCCGCGGAGCGGCAGGGATGGCAAGTGGAATGCTATGAGGCAATGGAAGCCATCGGGGCATAGATCGGGAAAAGCCAACACCAAAGGTGGTCCCAGGCGCCGCCCCGGCCATGGGGTCGGCGGATAATTCCAGCCATTCAAATTGGATAATCCTGCAAGAGGAAATACTTGGTTGCAAGCCGCCAGTCAGGCTATGCTTGGCATGTGTTAAAGATTGTTAAAGCATTCATGGTCGAGAAGTTCTTGGGTTCATAGTTTTGAGAAAAAACAAGGTCATAGCTGTTGTGCTAATGGGGTTCCAAGGTCTGAAGCTAGTGACCACAAAATCAAATGCACTTGTGTTTTATGACCTCAACACATTTGATTTCAGAGGATCTTGGGTACTTCTAGAGATGTTGATCTTCAAGATGCCAGCTCACATATTTATCACCGAAGCCCTGCGCTTGAGCAGGACGCGGTACCCAAGTGAGGTGATGCCGCCAGGGTCACAATCGATACTCCTGGCCAGAATTCTCGGCCAACTTCGGTATATAATCACTGGAATCTGCGGATGTAAAACTTGGAGAATTATACAATGAGCCACATACAAGTTTTATAATTAAATATTTATGATGTATATATATATGCCACGGTATATCGATATATACTGTACCTTCTCAAGCAGCTCTTCCTTCGCTGCGTCTCCAGGACATTTTGGAGTTGCTATCCATCTTCCGCCAGGGAAGCTCAGGGCTATACCAGCTGCATGGGTCACAGCAATGCAACATGAAACATCTGCATGGATGTTTCCTAAAATGGGGTACCCCCAGCTATCATCCATTTATATAGATAGGCGTTTCCATTTAGAAACCATCCATTTTTGGGTATCTCCATGACTTCGGAAAGCTTCCTTTAGATTGGCTCATTCATCATTTATCATCTCGTGCTGTAGATGATAGATTTAATGGATGACACCTGGATGATAAGCATCATAGCCAGTAGTAGCAAGCTTGTCGTAGCATCATCAAATTTTATAGCTTCATATGGTTTCATTCTTCGATGCAAACCGCAGGGTCAACAATGAGGTATCCCAGGATGGGACTAACAGTGGTTCCCTGGGTCTGACAGAGAAGCAAATCTGTATCTGATATGTCCACCATCAGAGATAGAATTTTAAAACCACCATCGAGATGGGACAAAGCTTGGGCAGTTTGATGGATCCATAGATAAGTTGTTTTTTTTCCATTCCCCGTGCCCCGTGCCCCCATTGCCATTTCTTCCGGGGGCCTTCTGAACCCGAGGGAATGATCCCGTCCGTATCGTGCGGTCCTGGGAGAACAAGAGCAATCCCTTGCCGAAGGCTCCATGCTGTGCAGGATCTTGGGAAGTGGAAGTTCATTGTATTGTGCTGTATATATATTATCTTTTCTAATAGATAGCTACACAATGATTTAACTATAATATATATATATATATGTATACATGTATCGTATCGTAACACCATATAGATTTCTATGATTTTCCTCTTCCTGGGAATGGCGGTGGTCTCCCATTCGTTTCACAATTAAAATCTAGCCATTTGTTTTTTGGTTATACCTTAAGTTTTAGCAATACCCCAGTTTCATCATTTGAAACCACCTAAATCAGACATAATTAGACCATCTACCCCAATACTTCGCCCTGCTTCATCTTGGGTTGGGTTGCCGAGTTGGTCTTAGGAGTTTGTTCCAACGCTCAAAAAGTGGTGCAGTTTGGCTCAAGATCAATCAATTGTAGTCTCTGGTCCGTTCATTTCGTTGGAGTTTTTTGACACATGCTTCAAGTCACAGTAGCTTTGCCAAGCAGTTGCAGTGAGAAGTTTTCGATTCCGCAGTCCTCCAACGTAGGGGACTTGAGGGTTCTGGCACAGAAATCCTTTCAACGTGGCTTCTTGAGGCTTGTGGCTGCAGACCATCACGCGTTGGATCCTACAGTGTCTCTGCAAGCTGCGGGAATTTGGGATGGAGACTATCTAACGGCTATTGTCCTGCAGGCAAAGCTAGCAACGACAGGAGCAGCTTTTGCATTGTTTTGTTGTGGAGGTGAAAGAGTTGTGACATGGGGCCGTCATGGACTTGGTGGTGACAGCTCTAAAGTCCAAGATCAGCTCAAGGGTGTCCAGCAGCTTCAAGCAACTTTGGATGGTGCGTTTGCGGCGATCCTGGCCGATGGGTCAGTGGTGACTTGGGGCAAAGCAGACTCTGGTGGTGACAGCTCTAAAGTCCAAGATCAGCTCAAGGATTTCCAGCAAGTTCAAGCAACTGAGCGGGCATTTGCTGCGATCCTGGCCGATGGGTCAGTCGTGACTTGGGGCAAAGCAGACTATGGTGGTGACAGCTCTAGAGTCCAAGGTCAGCTCAAGGGTGTCCAACAGGTTCAAGCAACTGAGCGGGCATTTGCTGCGATCCTGGCCGATGGGTCAGTCGTGACCTGGGGCGATGCACACTCTGGTGGTGACAGCTCAAGAGTCCAAGATCGGCTCAAGGGTGTCCAACAGGTTCAATCAACTGAGCGGGCATTTGCTGCGATCCTGGCCAATGGGTCAGTCGTGACTTGGGGCCATCCAGACTTGGGTGGTGACAGCTCTAGAGTCCAAGATCGGCTCAAGGGCGTCCAGCAGCTTCAAGCAACTTTGGATGGTACGTTTGCTGCGATCCTGGCCGATGGGTCAGTCGTGACTTGGGGCCATCCAGACTTGGGTGGTGACAGCTCTACAGTCCCAGATCAGCTCAAGGGTGTCCAGCAGCTTCAAATAACTTTGGATGGTGCGTTTGCTGCGATCCTGGCCGATGGGTCAGTGGTTACCTGGGGCGATGCACACTCTGGTGGTGACAGCTCTAAAGTCCAAGATCAGCTCAAGGGTGTCCAGCAAGTTCAAGCAACTGAGCGGGCTCGATCCTGGCCGATGGTTCAGTCGTGACTTGGGGCAAAGCAGACTCTGGTGGTGACAGCTCTACAGTCCAAGATCGGCTCAAGGGTGTCCAACAGGTTCAAGCAACTGAGCGGGCATTTGCTGCGATCCTGTCCGATGGGTCAGTCGTGACTTGGGGCCATCCAGACCTTGGTGGTGACAGCTCTAGGGTCCAAGATCAGCTCAAGGGTGTCCAACAGGTTCAAGCAACTGAGCGGGCATTTGCTGCGATCCTGGCCGATGGGTCAGTCGTGACTTGGGGCAAAGCAGACTGTGGTGGTGACAGCTCAGCGGTTGCAGTCCAGTTTGCATATGTGTAACCATGTTGGTGCAAAGTTGCCCTTCACTCCGGAATGTGTCGTTGATTGGCTTTTGGAAGTGTGCTTGAAAAGGCCGGGGAGCGACAGGTACTTGTAGCAAATACAGTGTTGCATCCAGCATCCCAAGATCACCCAAATGCCGACAAGTGTACCATACATGGTCTGGAAAATCTATTTTCTTGGGACGATGCCCTGAAACGTTGAACACATCCGCAAATGGTTCCTGCTGGAAAGTTTGGTGATAATCCAGTGACAAATCAAGGAACAATCC